CCCTGTTAAGTATATTGAGACTTGTTTTATGGCCTGCATATAATTTATTCTTGGGAGTATTCCTTGAAAATATATATATTCTGCAGATTTTGGGTGTAGTGATCTTTAAGTGTCAATTTAGGCACATCCACATGTAAAACAATGAAGTTGGACCCTCATACAACATACAAAAATTAACTCAAAATGGATCAAAACCTAAATGAAAAGGTAAAACTAAAACTCTTACGAGAAAAGCATAGGCGTAAATCTTCATGACCTTGGATTAGGCAGTAGTTTCTCAGATATGACACCAAATGCGTAAGCAATGAAAAAACAAAATCAATAAATTGGATTTCATGAAAATTAAAAATGTTTATGCATCAAAGGATAATTAATACCAAGGAAGTGAAAAGACAAGCCACAGGATGGGAAAAGATATTTGCAAATCAGATATCTAATTAGGGTTTGTATCTAGAACATATAAAGAACTCTTACAACTCAATGAGAAAAAGACAATCTAAAAAATGGGCCAAGGATCTGAAGAGACATTTCTCTAAAGTAGATATACAAGTAGCCAATAAACACATGAAAAGATACTCAACATCAGAAAAATGAAAATCAGAACTAAGAGATACCACTTCACACCCAATTAGGACGACTATAATAGAAAAAACAAACAAACAAAAACACCACCACGGATTATCACAAATGTGGCCTGGATGTGGAGAAATTGGAACCCTTAATTTCTAGTGGGAATGTGAAATGGTTGCTTTGGAAAAGTCTGACAATTTCTCAAATGATTAAACATAGAGTTACCATATTGACTTCTTGGTATATACCCAAGAGAAATGAAAACATATGTCTACACAAAATCTTGTACTTGAATGTTTATAGCAGCATTATTCATAATAGCCAAAAATTGGAAACAAACCAAATGTCTGGGGTCTCTCTATTCAATGCAATGTTATTTGGCAATAAAAAAGAATGAAGTACTGATACATGGCTATAATGTGAATGAACCTTGAAAACAATATGCTAAGTGAAAGAAGCCAGTCACAAAAGACTACATATTGTATGATCCCATTTATATGAAATATCCAGAGTAGGCATATCTATAGAGACAGGAAGTGGATTAGTGGTATTGGGGACATAGGAGGTGAACCATAGGAGGTGTGGGATGATGAAGATGTTCTAAAATTGATTGTGGTGATGGTTGCACAACTCTGTGAATATACTAAAAACCACTGAATTGTATGTACACTTTAAATGAATTGTATCATACATGAATTATGTCTCAGACTGTTAAAAAACAAAAGTACCAGGGGTACCAATAGTACAAGTCCACTAGGCAAATAAGCATAGGATCACTTACCATGCTGGCAAAGTTAATTTTTTTTAGCATAGTTTTCAAATGACATTGATGTTAAGAAGAGACTAAAGTTTCAGGTAAATGAAACCTACCTGATCTCAAAAAAAAAAAAAAAAAAAGTCAGGTCAGGTTGGCTGATAACATTATTCTTATATTCCATATACTTACTGATCTATTTCTTCTGTCAATTTTTGCTTCAGGCAATTTATTATTATAGCACATTATCTATTATTATGTGCTACATGTTTAAAATTATTATGTTTTCTTGAGGTATCTGACCCTCTTATCATTATGAAATAACTTTGTTCATCTCTAGTTATACTACTTGCCTTGAAGTCCACATCAGATATTAATATAGCCATACTAGCATTCTTATAATTAGGGTTATACATTTTATATTTTTTTCCCACATTACTATCAACTTGCCTGTATCTTTGTATTTAATGTGCTTTCCTTGTAGACAAGATAGTTGGGTTTTGCCTTTTAACTTCTTGACAATTTTTCCTTTAAGTGTTTAGTTCATTTACATTTAGTTCAATTATTGATGTGTTGGGTTTAATCTGCCATCTTGGAATTTGTTTTCTAATTTCCCCATCTGTTCTTTGTCCTTCTGTTCCTCTTCTTCTGCCTTCTTTTGGGTTGAGTACTTTTTCATATTCCATTTTGTCTAAGACAAAAATAGCCCAGCTATTAACTATTTGGGTAGGTCAGGATTATCCTTGCTCTTGAAATCTACCATTGTCTTTGAAGATCTCTCTTCATCCTGCTTTTCATTTGGTGAAGGCTCAGTGATTCTCAAAGGGCTCTCTCTCAGCTCTGTTCCACTCCCAGCTGTCAGTGGACTGCTGCTTTGCACTCAGCAAAGCCTTAGGTGCTTCAGAAGGATCTCTTAGCCCTTCTGTTCTGTCCTCTGCCTCTGGTGTGTGATGGTTGTGGACTAGGTGCAAGCTCTGTAGGAGAGAACTGGCAGGTGGGTATGGAATTGCTGTTTGATTAGGGCTCCTTAGAAATCCAGTTCTTCACATCAGCAGCACTTAGAAGTTTGTAAAAGTTCAGCTGGTTTCTTTACACTCCCCATTTTGATAGGGTTAGTCTTCTTCCTGTCAAAGATGGAAGCAGGTCATCTTTTTGGTGGGGGAAGGGATCATCTGTATGTGAAATTTAGTTTACTTAGGTCTCTTTGCATCTCAGCTCTGATGGGTTTTTAAAGAAAATCTATGATTTTGTGGATTTTCCAGCTTCTTATTGGTTTCAGGCTCTGGTTACTTTTAAAGTTTGTTTATATATATATATATATATATATATATATATATACACTTTTTTTTTTGGCGATACACGGGCCTCTCACCGTTGTGGCCTCTCCTGTTGCGGTGCACAGGCTCCGGATGCGCAGGCTCAGCAGCCATGGCTCAAGGGCCCAGCCGCTCTGCGGCATGTGGGATCTTCCTGGACCGGGGCACGAACCTGTGTCCCCTGCATCGGTAGGCGGACTCCCAACCACTGCGCCACCAGGGAAACCCTTAAAGTTTATATTTTTATAGTTATATGTTAATGGAAACACTTTTCAGGCATCTACAATTAGTGTTTACTTTTTAGTGGCTTATCAAATGACAGTATCCTAATGTGGAATCCCAAGAAATCTGTGAAAGGCCAATGAATAAGTGAATGATGACATTTACTTTGGGTACTGAGTTGCAGGTACTGACCACACATTAATATCCATAATCTGCCTTATGACCAGTAATACACATTTATAAGATGGTGGGCTTGAGCTAGGCTATAGTTTATTGATAAAGTGCTGGGAAAAAAGTATAGTGATTGACTATGCAATCTTGCCTCAGAAGCATTTATACAACCATATGAGTTAAAAAGAGATGCAAATGCATTCATAATTAATACGGCTTATCTACATCACTTTAGAGCTATATACAAGGATTTTTATTCATAATCATTAATTTTGCTTATATTCGTTAAAAATAAATCTTGGGCTTCCCTTCCCTTTAGTTTTCATGTCTTGATTATATTCCTTTTACTTTGTACTGTCTTTTAAGATTCTGTAGAAGAATTTCACCTGGAGTGACTGGTACAGAGGAGAATCAGACATTAAATGTCCAACAAATATCTTTTTATAAAAAGTGTAAAAAAAAAAAAAAAAAAAAAAAAGTGTAAATTCTCAAACATTCATAAAGTAATGAGAATAATGAACTCCTGTGCTTCTAATAACTACTGACATAGGTTAATCAATCTTGTTTTATTTATCCCACCCATTTTATTAAAAAAATACTGATTCCTGGAATATTTTAAAGCCAATCCCAGATGTTATATCTCATTTTACCCGTACGTTGTTCTACCTGATAGGAAAAAATTTAAAACATAATTACTATGACATAATTATGTCTAACAGAGTTAATAGTAATTCCAGAATTTTTCAAACATTGCCTTTTCGTGCCATGTTTCCTAGCTGTCCGGGTTCACCTGGGAAAATTAAATTTACTTAATGTTTCTAATGTTATCCAAATAATATTATTCTGATTTCTAAAATCTTGAATATTCACTGCTTTTTTCTGTTGCTCTCAAGAATGTCCTAGATACGTTTATAGGCCACAGAATAGCCTATGAAAAAACTTGTTCTGGGACCCAAGCACATTTTATACACACTGTGTACTTGATCCCCTTATGGTGATTTATAATGCAGGTTATGAGAGGCAAAGTTCTGAGAAGTTTGACAATAAAGAGTTAACTTGACTTAACCAAGAATTTCCTAAATTTACTTGGCCCCAGAACCTGTTTTTTAAGTAATTTCTGTTAGCCAAAATACATTTTGGGGAATGCTGTTCTAGGCAGGAGAATGCTGCTTCTGAATAGCAAAACAAATTTTGAACTTAATTTTAACTGAATTAATTAGATGATTATTTGTCCCTATGGCATTATCATCATCATGTAATATCTATTTTTTTGTTTTTCAACAGTCTGCTTAATATTGATAATGTAGTGTAACACATAGGTCATCCTCTTCAGGATCTTACATTCTGAAAATCTTGCATCACACTATAAGCAAATTAAGCATAAACATTTTGTTTTCCCAATAGATATTTGCAAAAAAAAAACACTATACATCACAATCCCTCCATAAAGAAAGATAAATGTATTTGGTATTGTATTGAAGGGGAAGCTAGAAATGTGAGGAAACTCAAGGAAATACAAACCAAAAGATAATGGTGAGCAATTATATCTTATTTGTGAAGAATTGGTTAAAATAACTTTTAAAGAGTTTAAAGTTAGGCAGTAGTGTGGAAATTCTCATAAGTAGTTTATATATTTATGTACTCTTAAAATATGTTCATTAAAAAAAAATCTAAGTAGTTAACAGGGCCAAGTGGAGGCTAATTACACATGAAGGGAAAAAAATTCTCCATCTGTCACTCTTATCCGCTCACTGACACTGGATTAAGAAGGGAGTCAAGAGGCATTCATACTTTAGTGGGTCTGCCTCTCATTCTAACAGAATTTAATTGACATCTGGCCCCTGTCCCCCAGCTCCTTGGCTGGATGCACAAGTGCCTCTTGTCTTTACCCTGCATGTTGTATAAACGTGTAGATGCCTCTTTTTTCTATGATGCTACAAGGGTAATTTTTTCTCCATTACTTATAGTCAAACTACAACTTCAAGCAGAAGAGAGAGGGGTTGTGTCTATCAAAGGAGTGTGTGCGAACCGTTACCTTGCTATGAAGGAAGATGGAAGATTACTGGCTTCTGTAAGTAATGTTTTCTCTTTTTGTACTTTTTTTTAAAATTTAGCTTTTATTGCTATGAATTTACTAGTATTGGTATTATTAAATCTTTATTAAGGGTTTTACAGGTATATCATTTAATCTTCACATTCATCCTATAAAATAGAGTATTATACTCTATTTCACAGAGGCAAAAACTGAAGTTCTGAGGGAGTAATAAAGTAACCAAGAAAACACAGGTCATATGAGGCAGAGCCTGGATGGCACGCCAGGAGGGCATGCCAGGCAGTCTTGACTCTAGAGCAGGAACTCTAATTCACTGCATTTTACTGCCTTTGCTGCAAAGCTATTAAACTATAGTCTTATTTTTAAATTATATTTTTAATAAATTTATTTATTTACTTTTGGACGCATTGGGTCTTCGCTGCTGCACAGGCTTGCTCTAGTTGCGGCGAGCAGGGGCTACTCTTCATTGCAACGTGCAGGCTTCTCATTGCGGTGGCTTCCCTGTTGTGGAGCACGGGCTTCAGTAGTTATGGCACGCAGGCTCAGCAGTTGTGGCTCTAGAGCGCAGGCTCAGTAGTTGTGATGCACAGGCTTAGTTGCTCCACGGCATGTGGGATCTTCCTGGACCAGGGCTCAAACCCGTGTCCCCTGCATTGGCAGGCGGATTCTTAACCACTACACCACCAGGGAAGTCCCTAAAACTATAGTTTAAAAAAAATCTTTATATTGTGCATTTGTCTGAAGATCACTGGGATGGACATATAAAATTTTGAGTATGAGTTTTTAAGCTTATTTCAAATATGACATAGAAACACTTGCCATTTAGAGTACTATAAAATAGAGACAATAATGATTGTATCTCAGAGTTTTTGTGTGGACTGAATAATTTATATCGTGCCAAAATCAGGGTCTTATACATAATAGGTCCTCAAAATTGTTACTTCCTCATGTTACTTCTCATTTATATATAAGCTCATTAAGGGCAGGGACTTCTCTTTTTTTTTTTTACTTTTTATCACACTACTCCAGGGTCCTTGCTGCTGGCTAGTATTCTTTCCATTAATACAGGCTCCTTGTCAACTTCACCATTATTATTACAACCGGGATTGTATGTCTGTTGAGCAGACACTGTGTGGGGAATGACGCAGGGAAGCAGATCAGTATGAAAGACACAGATTGTACTTCTGTCTCATTGGGGGAGTAGATAAGACATGTACCTAAAAGTGCGTGTATATACAAACCACAGCCATAATACCAATACCAGTAGCCAGTTGTATAGCACTTTATAGCTTTCCCCACAGAATGGATCTAATAGTACTGAGCAGTTGTGGTGTTTTGAGCTTAGTTTTTGAATTTTTTTCTGAGTGAAGATCTTTGGATTTCTTTTTAATTAATTTTTTATTGGCGTGTAGTTGATTTACGTTGTGCTAGTTTCTGCTGTACAGCAAAGTGAATCAGTTATACATACATCCACTCGTTTTTAGACTCTTTTCCCATATAGGTCATTACAGAGTATTGAGTTCCCTGTGCTATACAGTAGGCCCTTATTAGTTATCTATTTTATACATAGTAGTGTGTATATGTCAACCCCAGTGTCCCAGTTTATCCCTCCCCTTTTCCCCCTGATAACTATGTTTGTGTTTTACATCTGTGACTCTATTTCTGTTCTGTAAATAAGTTCATTTGTACCATTTTTTTAGATTCCACATATAAGTGATATCATATATTTGTCTTTCTCTGTCTTCACTTAGTATATAATTTCTGTGTCCATCCATGTTGTTGCAAATGGCATTATTTCATTCGTTTTTATGGCTGAGTAATAGTCCATTGTGTATATATTTACATCTTCTTTACCCATTCCTGTCGCTGGTCATTTAGGTTGCCTCCATGTCATGGCTATTGTAAATAGTGCTGCAGTGAACACTGCAGTGCATGTATCTTTTCAAATTACCGTTTTCTCCGGATATATACCCAGGAGTGGGATTGCTGGATCATACGGTAGCTCTATTGTTTTGTTTCTTAAGGAACCTCCATACTGTTCGCCATAGTGGCTGTACCAATTTACATTCCAACCAACAGTGCAAGAGGGTTCCCTTTTCTCCACACCCTCTCCAGCATTTATTGTTTGAAGATTTTTTGATGATGGCCATTCTGACTGGTGTGAGGTGATACCTCTTGGTAGTTTTGATTTTGTAGGATAAATAAGTCTCAGTGTAGTGGTGCTCTTTTTATGTAACTGAATAAATTTTAGAATCCTCTTCAATAGCTAGTATTTTTTGAGTGTACAGTATACTAGATACCATGCTAGGCATTAGGGTTATAAAACTGAATACAAAATGGCCTGTGCCTTTAATAAGTGACAATCTGGGGAGGCAGAAGTGTAAATAAGTATTCGTAATAATGTGTAAGGGGTGGCTTCGGTGTGTTCTTCTATATGCTGCATGTATGCATAGAAATAAAGGAAGGAGCGATTAAACTTGTCTAGATTGGCAAAAATGACCTACCAAGAGGATTTGACATAATGTAGAGGAAGGAGTTTATCAGGCAGTTCGGGAACAGAGGAATGGAGATCAGGATATAGATAATTCTAGGACATGGCACAGGCATGGATGCGGAAGGCTTACTAGGGGTTTCTCCAGAATTACAATTCACTCCTGCTGGAGTGTAAGGTGCAAAGGCAACAGAAGGTAGAGGGGAAAAGATGAGGCCGGAGAAGCAGGTAAACTGCCCGCTGAAGTACCTGATAGCACCATGCTGCTCTCGGCAGTGGGAAGCCATAAAGCGTTTTAAGAGACACATGAGATTTGAATTCAAGAAAGAGCTCTCTGGCAGCAGCGCAGAGGACGGATTTGAGGGGTCCAAGGCTGGTGGAGACAGGCCAGTTAGAAGGCCATGGGAATAGTCCAAGCAAGTGATGATCAGAACCTGGCAGTGACAGGATGAAGAGGATGGAGTAAAGTGTGAGCACTGAGGCTGACCCGAGTTACGAGTAGAGTCGAGGAAAGAGTCAAAGATGACATCCAGGTTTCTAGTTTGGATGAGGAGGTAGATGAGAAAGGGGAAGAGGAAAAGAGCAAGTTCTGGGAAAAGGTAAGACAGGCTCACATTTATTTGGTCTTATCTAGTTTGAGGTGCCTAAGAAATTCAGGTGAAGATGTTCACTACATAGTTGGAGTTGGGGTCTGGAGTTTAGAGGAGAGGTGTTGTGTCGATAATAGATTTGGGCGTCATGAGCATATATGCGGCGGCTAAAGCAGGGGAAATGGATGAGGTTTCCTAGGCAAAAAAAGCATAGCTATGAAAGGCTGACTACTTGGAACTTTCACTTCTTCCACTGTTTTTTTTTTTCTACCAGCCTGTTGTCATCTCAAGGGATGATGTAATACTTTGGGAATCTACTGAAATAGCATTTAAAGTATTTCCAGGACAGTGAATCAATGGGTAATTTTGGATGACCTTGACCTTGTAGAGAGAAGAGGGGATAACCCTACTCTTCTCACCTCGGGATGTAACAAAACACAGTGTGCATCACTTTGTCTCCTGCAATAGTGTTGATTTGGCTACTGTCAGACAGTAAAGGTGGTAGAGGAAAGAAAGTAAATACATACAACATTTGCTTCTGTCTCAACTATGGACAACGCTAGTCAAATTGGCACTAGTCAAAATGGTTTTAAAGCTCTAGACTTTGCTATGTCTGTCTTGTGACTTCAGATCGTTACCCTGTGGTTTTCCACTTAAAGAGATTAGAAGATCCAGTAATCTGGTAATCATGGTGGCCCTGTAAGATAGTCATTGGAGGGGTTATTTATCTTGAGAACACAGGTTCATCTGTAATGATAAAAATAATTGTCAAAAGTGATGAAAACAGAAGCTACTCTACCTTATTTATTACATTTTTTTTTTAAAAAATTGAAGTATAGTTGATTTACTATGTTGAGTTAGTTTCTGGTGTAGAGCAAAGTGATTCAATTTTAAATATATATATATATATATTTCATATTCTTTTCCATTATAGGTTATACGAGATATTGAATATAGTTCCTTGTGATATATACACTAGGACTTGTTGTTTATTTTATACATAGTAGTTTGTATCTGCTAATTCCAAACTCCTAATTTATCCCTCCCCGCTCTTCCCCCTTTGGTAACCATAAGTTTGTTTTCTATGTCTGTAAGTCTGTTTCTGTTTTGTAAATAAATGTCAATGGACATTTAGGTTGAGAAGTTACTCTACAGTGAGTCTTTGAAACTACTGGAGTCTGTAAAAGAGGAGACAGTTTAAGACACTAGACCTAAAACCTGAGCTGTCTTCACATTCTTAGAGAATTCTCTACAAGTCAGAATTCAGAGAATTCTGACCTCTTCTCTTTGCACATAGGCATTAAGCTTCCCAAACTGTTGATTCTGTACCATCAGAAGCATAAAATAAACAAATAAAACAATAAAATAAAAGTGTTTTCTAATTTCTTCCTTAGCTAAGCAGGACCTTTCACAAGATTAAGGTCACAGCATTCTGTTTAGTCTTAAATATATTTCTGTCCCCTTGGATGTGTGTTAATTCTTCCAGATACAACAGATTTCCTTCAAGCTGGTACAGTAAGAGTTAATTTAGCAATGCTCAGAAATTTATCACAAACTCTGCAGGGACACTGCCACAGCTGTTACACATAAATGGAATATTCAGGATTTATCAGTTTTCTTTGAGGAAAGGCACCAGCCAAGATCCAGTTGTTCCAGCACCTGTCACTGGATCTATTCCATGCCAAGGTCATGAGTCAATCTCTAGTCTTACCATTCAATTTGTGTGGCTCGCTGCCTTGCCTCTTCAGCAGCAATCCTTTTTCAGATTAGTCTGGGTGGGCTGTGTCAATTTTCAGATGAAAAAGTAAGTATCCCTGAAATAAGGGACACTTACCCCCAAACCAAGGAGGTGGTGTTGATTCAGGAGGTGGCATATTTTCCTCTGAGTCAGATCCATAGGCACTGAGCTGTCAACAATAGCAACTTTCAGGCAAGAAATTAAAAGTCTTGACCCTTGGCTATTAATAGCATCTGTTCCACTGTTTAACAGGTTGAGACGAATCACTGATGATGAAAGACACTGTAGCTGGGGATGTCAGCAGGGACCTCACTCAGGTGACAATGGGAAGAGACAACTGGCATGTAAAAAAGAAAAACAAAACAACTTTGGGATAAGTCCAGTGTTGTGACCAGTAGCCATCATTTGGGGATGCAGATGTTCCTTATTACCTAGAGACACTGGGGTTTATGAACTTGCATTTGCCAAAGGCATAATTCTTCCCACTCTTCTTCTACAGGGCCCCACCCCATTTCAGACTGCTATGTTACGGCACATCCCTGGGTTCTTCTGCATTTTATCCTGTGTGCGATTCCTACACTGATTTGTAAAACATTATAGTTTCCCCTCAGAAAGAAGAGCATGCTGGATAATAACACATTTTGGTTTCTGAGAGTCAGGTTAGGTTGATTACTACCAGTTGAGAGTATTAAAAAAGACTCAGAGTAACTGTATTTACGTGCCAAAGCCTAAATTTGGAGGCTGAAGTTGAGTAGTTCTTTAATATACAACAGACTCCGTATTCCATTCCATAGCAAAATAAATTTTGTTGCTATGAACAACAGAAGCCCAGGACAAATATTAGGATCTATGATTTCTTCTATGTTCAAAAATTGCATATAATGAGGTTAACTGTAGTCTTAAGTTTAAATTACCAAACAACCTCAGTGTTAGCACTGGTATGAAAAAATCTGCCTGGTCTTTAGCTGCTAGAAAGTTGCACATTGTTTTCTATATTATGCGACAGCTTGTGATAACCTAAACAAAATAATTCAGTAAGTATTAGAATGTGTGTGATCTGTGTTGATCCGTAAGAGTCAAATATGCAAAAGTTATGTATCGTATCTGAGAATATATATTTAATTACTGTAAAAGTAAAATTTTTTTTACTTATTGAATAACTTTCTTACTTGAGGGGAAATGAAACTTAAAGAGATTTTTGAGGGTTCACTTATACAGAATGGTGATATATACTGATTAAATTTGTCAGAAAATGCAGTAAAGAAGAATATCATTTTTAAGAGATAAAATACTAGATTAAATGCAAAGGTTACTGCTTAATAAGAATTATTGCTTCTTTTAGAATCCAATCTTATAAAATTTTACATAAGCTACATGTATAGTACAATATTAAGATTAAATTTAAACTTTTTACAATTTGTGTCTTTCTTAGTTTGTTCTGAAATACTCAACACTGATACTTACACATCATGTCTGTTTTTAATTCTCAGAAGCTGTGTAAGCAAAAGCATTCTTGGACTCATGTTGAGCAAACTCTCTCATAAGCCAAAACTGCAAAATCAAAGTACTGTAAAAGAATAAACAATCCAAAAAACAGAGCATGGGGGAGTGAGCATAAGGGTCAATCTAACATTTAGCAGTGCATGAGAATTCTGAGGCCAATACATAAGGACAGGGGATGGTGGGGGGCGGCAGGGGGAGGACAATTTACTCTAATTCTTTTCTTATAGTATGCCAGGGCTTTAAGATTGTTTTAAAGGCTTAAAAATTGTTAAAGATTGGGAGGGATCTTAAAGATCATCTAACCCAGTCTTCTTTTACAGATGAGAAAAGTAAGGTTCAGAGCGGTTAAGTGGCTCACTCAAAGATACAAGATAGTCAGGGATCAAGGCAAGACTGGAACCCAGGTTTCCTGGCTCATAAAGATCCTCGCAGATGTTGTTAGGATAGTCAATGGGCCAACTGGCTTAGTCTCCTCAGGGACTAAATCAGTCCATAAAATTAGACTATATTCTGTATTGCAGTACTTAGGCTGGATTTTCCTTGGTCTTAGTTCCTTTGTTCTTATTTAGATTTTGCAGTGCCATTGAATGGTATTTTTATTGTAACCTATATAAAGTTTCATTTATTCATTAATTTAGTAAATATTTATTGATCACTATGTGCCAGGCACTGATATAGCAATAGAATAGAAGAAAAACAACAGAAGAAAATCTCCACCCACCTGGCATTTATAGTGTGGTGAAATAAAGTGGATATGTATATATAAATAAATGATCTGTATTTGGATGTTGTAGAGCACAGAAATGAATGAGATGCTTTTATCCCTCATAGTGTAACTAGAGTTACTAAATTCAGTTACTTGAGATTCTTTTTTTGTGGTCATACTTGTAGCCCTAAGGTCAGGTTTTTTTAAAAATAAATTTTGATTTTAGAATAGTAATAGGTTTACAGAAAAGTTGTGAAGATGCAGTACAGAGAGTTTCTGTATACTCCACACCCAGCTTCTCCATTAGTATGGTACACCTGTCATGACTAATGAACCAATATTGATACATCATTATTAGCTGAAGTTCATACTTTATTCATATTTCCTTAATTTTTACCTCATGTCCTTTTTCTGTTCCAGGATACCACATTTAGTCATCATGTTTCTGTAGTCTCCCTTAGATCATGAAATTTCCTTAGACTTGCCTTTCTTTGATTACTTTGACAGTTTGAGGAGTACTGGTCAAGTATTTGTTAGAAGGTCTTTGAGTTTGCCTGATGTTTTCCTCATGATTAGACATAGGTTATGAGTGTTTGGGAGGTAGATCACAGGGGTAAAGTACTATTTTCATTGTATCGTTTCAGGGAACATGCTTATAACTAATAATATTAACCTTGGTCAGCTGGCTGAGGTAGTGTTTGTCTCCACTGTAAAGTTACTGCTGTTTTCCCCTTTCCATACTGTATTTGGAAGAAAGTCACTATACACAGTCTACATTTAAGAGATGGGAGTCGGGGCGGGGGAGGTTTATGCTCCGTCTCCTTGAGGAGGAAGTATCTGCATAAATTATTTGGAATTCTTTTGTATGAGAAACAACTTCTTTTATTTAGTTAATCATGTATATCAGTATATATGCATGGATATTTATTTTGTACTTTGGGTTATAATCCAAAACTGTATTATTTTGTTGTTCACAGCTGTGTTGTTCACAGCTTTGGCTCTTGGGAGCTTTTTCATTTGGCTCCTGTATTCTTTGACATACCCCAGTCAATGTGGGGTTTTTTGAGCACTTCCTTATTTCATGTCCTCTAAGAGTGCTCCAGTCTCATCTTGTATATTCCCTACTCCAGCCCAGAATGAGCCATTTCTCTAAGGAGGCTTGGTTCCTTCTACTAGAAAGTGGCATCAGAAACCAAGATCTGGGCGTGCTTGTTGCTACCGAGGTGTGTCTGCTTCCAGGCCCTCTTATCTGACCGAGCAAGGAATATAGGCATATACCAACCTGGATATATATATATACATAATTATAAATATTTCTACATTTAACCATCTATATTTAACCATAAATATTTCTATATTTAAAAATGAGTACATACTGATGTTATCCAACCCTAATCCAACAGTATCACATGAACCATTTTAGCGTTCCCTGCTGGCTTGTCTGTAACTACCCACTCCAATAGTGAGAAACGTGGTTCCTACCATTTCCTAGGGTCAGTTTTTCATTATGTATAAATATCTCACATCAGTTTACTTTCTTTTTGAAATTTCAAAGTAAATTAAATATATAGGCAAAATACAAATCAAACTATTTAAAATGTTGATTATGCTTTTTCAAACTCTGTTTGATTCTTTCCTATTCAGATGCCCCTACAAGGGGTCAGATTTCCAGCACCATCTTTAAAATCATTAGCATCACTGTTACCAGTATCAACAAATGATTATTGTGCCCCTTATATAGGACCATAAGCTAAGCTAGTTCATGTGGATAATGTTCAGGCAAGTCTTGAGGTGTGGCCTACCGCTGATGCATGACAGATTTATATTACTCTCATACATGTACATCTACATTCATTTTTTAGATTCCATACCTTTTAGAATTGAGAATATGGATTGGAATTATTGTAACTTAAAACACTTCTCAGCATTCCAAATAAATTAGTACTTTTCAAGTTCCAATTCTGTGGTTATTAGCATTAGTAAGAGGGAAAGAAGGTTAAGTGATTTGTCTCTTGCAGAGTATGCGCTCAGTAAACACTCTTTATCTCCTTTAGGACATCTAATATTTATCTCAAACTCAACATGTCCAAAACTGAATTCCTAATCTTTCTCTATAAAACCTGTTCCCCCTCACAGCTTTCCCCATCTCAGCAAGTCCATCATCTAGAACATAAACTTTAGTGCCACCCTTGATTCCTCTATATCTTACACTGCACATCTGATGTGTCAGGAAACTGTGTTGACTCTACTTTCAGAATACATCCAGAAGCAGACAGCCTCTTACCATCTCTGCTGCTACCAGCGTGGTCTGAGTCTCCCTCTCTGTCTAGGTTACTGAGCAAGCCTCTAATGGAATATCCGTATCTGCATCTGCCTTTGGCCCAGAGTAATCTTGACAGCCAGAGTAATCCTGGAAAAATGTCAGATCATGCTCAGAAGTCTACAATGGCTTTTCAGTTTCTCAGGATAGAAGCCAAAATACTTACAATAGCCTATAAATCTCCTATCTCATTACCTCTCTGACTTCATTTCCTTTCCCCTTCAAACCCTCTGCTTCATTTCCACTGGCCTTGCTGCCCTTCACACACTTCAGGCATGATCCTGTTGTAGGGATTTTACACTGGCTTTTCCCTGTCTGCTTGGGATGCTGTTCTCTGGTATCTGGAGGGTTAACTCCAGCTCCTTCAGGGGTTTTTGCTCAAATATCACTTTCTCAGTGGAGCCTACTGTGGCCGTGCTATTTAATACTGCAGCCTAATCTGTACCCACACCATCCCCCATCCCGCTTATCCTCTCAGTTTTACTTTTTCCCATAGGATTTATCGTATTGTAGCATACAATTTATTCAGTTATGCTTACTGCTTATTTTGTGTCTCCCCCAGTGAGAATCGGACCAGCACAAAGGCAGGGATCTTTGTTCAGTTTTGTTCACTGATGTATCCCAGCGCCTAGAAGAAAAAAATTACGTTAAATGAATAAATGCATTATTTGAGCTGTGTGCTTTCTGTATCCCAAAATTATTCTTAAATTAAAAAAAATAAAGGAAAATAAAGGAAAATGTAATTTGATGAAAAGGTGTCGGATGGATACATGGGCAAAGGGTATCCACAATCTGAAATAAGTTACTAAGAGCCTTGAGTTTATTTATTCTCCCGATTTTATTTATCTATTTATTTTTTTGGAGTATAGTTGCTTTACAATGTTGCATTAGTTTTTGCTGTGCAGCAAAGTGAATCAGCTATACGTATACATATATCCCCTCTTTTCTGGATTTCCTTCCCATTTAGGTCACCACAGAGCACTGAGTAGAGCTCCCTGTGCTATACAGTCGGTTCTCATTAGTTATCTGTTTTATACACAGTAGTGTATATATGTCAATCCTAGTCTCCTGATCTATGAGCCTTGAGTTTTAGATTCCTCATTTGTTAATGAGTATATGTGATACATTATGTCAGAGGATTGTTGTGGTATTTAAATAAAGTGATATGCACGAGAGCAGTCAATAACCATGAATTAAGGGATTTCCCAGCTCCTGGGCCTATATAAAATAAGGCTTGAAGGCAAGGTACAATTTGTTGTAAGCCTTTAGAAGCTACTTACCCACTTCCTCTGTGATGTCCTCTGAAGATCTCCTTTTCTCTTAAGTTTGAAATGGTGAGCAGTTAAACATTGAGTATAGGAAAAAAGCTCTGTGAATATGTTTATAAAGGTTAAAAAAATTACACTGCATCCGTTTTTAACAGGATTATTGACATCACAACCAATGAAGATGATTTGTAAACTTAGGATGGAGAGAACTGAAAATTGCTTAAAATGGGATGTTAGATGCATGCTTTTATTGAGACTGAATTTTGGCTCTACTACCCATTAAAAAAGTGCAGTTTGTTTTCAAGTGCACATTAGCTGTTTAGTAAACTTACATGTCTGAATGTTCAGCACAGAGGCACAATTTCCTTCTCTCCCCTCTGTGTAAAAAGGTACAAGTAACCTCTGTTTTTTTTAAAAAAAAAAACAAACTGTGGTTTCCATAATGTATCAATATTATCCACTTAATCCCTGGTACTATTTCTTTTCTCTAAAATACTAGCAACTGGCTGAGAAGGCAAATATTACTGGCATGGTATGTATCCCAGTTGGCCAAGCATTATAGGGAGTGCTAACTAGCAAGGTGGGGCACCCTGTAGGCTGACTGAACACCAAAAAATGAGCATATCAACGTCCTGAGGATAACTGACTGATGTGGTTTAGGTCTATTTCTGGGAAATTAGCCCATGAAGCTCAGTGCTGACCTTTCATGTTATCTTTATGATTACATGCCTTTTCCTTTCACTCTTTACTTTTCAACTCCTGACCTTAAACCTGGAATAGAGAAAGAGGAAGATTTTTATTGGTGGCACTAAAAAGTGACAAGATAGAGTAAACCAGGTTAACTTCAGTTAACAAAGGAAGCACAATAATTTCACCAAAGGTAGCAAGTATTGGCTGCAGAGTATCCGTGCCACTGTTATTACATTTGAATCTCTTTGAAACTCATGAGACAGTCCTGGGTATCGTATAGCTGGGTCCTCGTGCAATGTGTGCTTCTTTGTAAGGCTACCTGTGATTTATTTGCACTTAAGTTACTTTCTTAGTAAGTTACAAAAAAAAAAAAAAGAGCAAACTAGATAAGTTTGCATTTCAGTTTTTAAAAGTTCAGTTAACAGTAGTCAAAACATTAAAGCCAAGTAAATATCCAGTAAAATTCTTATCTCTAGAAGCCGACTACAGGAGCTATTAATCACTTTTAGGTCTTTCTTGTTACTGGATGTATGTCCCTTTTGGAGACCACTGAAATCTATGTTCATGGGATGTTTCAAGTCTGAGCCAGTGTGGTTCCTACACCACCTGTGTGCTCCTGCTGCCTAGCACCTGACCTGTCCATCGTGGGGCTGGAGAATGGTCCTTGGACTGCTCCTCCGAAGAAATGTGCTTGAAACTGTCCTGCTGATACGCTGTGTTCCTGTCCTGTGTCTTTCTGCAGACTCAGATTGTGTCAGATTTTGGCCTGTTGAGTCTCACTAGTTTGATCGTCCTGTTGAACCCAAAGCACTGTGTACTGTCATTAAATATTTAACCTGAAAAGTATGACAACAACTACTAATTTTTCCTTTGTTTTTCAGAAATGTGTTACAGACGAGTGTTTCTTTTTTGAACGATTGGAATCTAATAACTACAATACTTACCGGTCAAGGAAATACTCCAGTTGGTATGTGGCACTGAAGCGAACTGGGCAGTATAAACTTGGACCCAAAACAGGACCTGGGCAGAAAGCTATACTTTTTCTTCCAATGTCTGCTAAGAGCTGATCTTAATGGCAGCATCTGATCTCATTTCATATACCTCATGAAAGAAGAGGTATATTTTAGAAATTTGTTGATGAAAGGAAAAGAAAAATGTATACAGCTATCTGCTCAGTTTACGTAACTGGTCAGATAACCTTTTATCTAACAGTAAAATATTTAACCATTGCCTTAGTAAAACAACAACAACAAAAATTCCTGGAAAATGCATAGACTTCCACTTTTTATATAGAATTTGCCTTTATCCAGTGAAGCTTACTTACAGCTACAATCTTTTTCATACATTTGCTTCATTTGAAAAGAGGCTTTTAAAATGTGCATACGTACAAACAAGTTTTCTTCATGGAAATCACAGACATTAGAAAATTTAAGTCAGATATTTAGTTAACCCAAATGTCCACTACTTCTTATAATACGGCACACATTAATCTACAGGTACAATTTACTTAAAACATTTTAAAATCATGTAAATATAAATTTAATCCATGCCTGTCATAGTTTTATAACTGTTTGGCAGTTCCTTGTGATAGATTTTATAGAACAAGCCTGTGTAAACTGCTGGAAGTTCTTCCATGGTCAGATCAATCTTGTCAAACCCTTCTCTGTATCCATACAGCAGCAGCCTAGCAACTCTGCTGGTGATCGGAGTTGTATTTTCAGTCTTGACTAGGTCACTGAGATCCATCCACTCACACCTTAAGCATTCATGCTGGCAAAAATTTATGGTGAATGAATATGGCTTTAGGCGGCAGATAATATACATATCTGACTTTCCAAAAGCTCCAGGATGGGTGTGCTGTTGCCGAATACTCAGGAGGGACCTGAATTCTGACTTTATACCGGTCTCTTCAAAAACTTCTCGAACTGCTGTATCTCCTATATAGAAGAAAATGTACAAATCAGTAAGGATCACATTTTTAGGAATTTAATCATCAAAGATTTTCAAGAAGCACTTTCTAAATGCTCAAAAAGCACAACTTTACCCTAAGAAAATGAAGTTTTCAATGTAAACTCTTTGCCTTACTGGACATCCTGAAGTACCGAAGTATTTTCTTACCAATGTATATCTAAGAAGCTTTTGAAATACTGACTATTTCTTTGGCTGCTACTTGCAGGCTTACCCACTTATATATATATTTTGAAAGTCACATTTTAAAAAATTCTTCCTGCTTTATTTCCCCAGAGGTGAAAGCATAGGTTGCAAAGCTGCAGTTAATATTCCTACGTATTTTTTCATTATTATCCTGTTCCTGATTACCCATCAAAACTGCCTAAATTTATAAACATCAGAATTGAGAAAAAGTGATCCACTCTTCTTTATAAAAGTCTGGACAGCTACAGAATGTACTGAACTATGAAATGATTCAACTCTCCCCTGGTCTCTCCTAGGACTGTCAAGCCTCTGAAATCATAGAGCAGACTCCTTTATAACCATTTTGTTATGCTCTTGTAGTTATCCTGTGAGTGGAATCCCACCATGGTTAATTTTTTGGCATTTTCTTTGTTCCCTGCATTTCAAAGAACTTGGATTCATTCTTCCAACAGCAAAATGCTGCAGTCATTTCGTCAGAAGTTTTCAAAAAACTTGCAATTTACAGAATTTTATAATACAGCTAGGGTTTTCACATTTTATAAGGTTGATTTTTCAATAATATGCAAATTTCTGGGACAGGATTTTTATTGCCAATAACTTATTTTTGGCTGCTTTTTCTAAATATCCAGATGAACCTCCTACATGGGATTTCTCTAATTTTACGATGCTCTGTCATTGTCTCCCAAAGTGTTTTATGAGAAGCCCCTAAAAAAGCTGCCTTCCTTGCCTATTTGCTGGGAAGCTTCACAATTGCCACAGGTACAAATTTTTGTTCAACTACCCTTTAATGCCTCCATTTTCTTGTTTGCCAAATTGTCAGTTATATTTGTCTTCTTAGTAGTCCTACTAGTGAGGAATAGGCAAGGAAGAGCAAGTCGTTGAAAGAAAAAAAAATGTCTCGATGTTTTTTCTGATAAACAGCTCTGGAAATATGCACAGGAAAAGTGTTTAATATATAAGATGTTTGTCTGCCATACTTGAATATATGTGGACTTCCCTTATAATTGAGATTTGCCTTAGGTCAAACATGGTTAGAAATTATATTTTTAAACTGAAAACATAAAAGAAGAATTTATATGTTAAGAAAAGGAAAACTTGCCTTAATAAGAAAGATAATTTTTAGTAGTATACATGTTTGTTATTAAATTTGTTAAAGATTGTGGCAGTAGTCTTAAATTTTACATGTCATTTGCTGATCTGAGTTAAAAATTGTTTAAATGTTTATTTTTATTCTTTAAACAAACACTTTGAAAGATGACCAGGGGGGTCTTGTTTAGCTTTTAGCAACACTAATCAAGAGTTTGGCATTTAGTTCCTGAGTCTGGCCTGTTGGTGTGTTATGGAAGCACAGGACGGGGCTGGTGAGCGAAATCTGCCCTGCTCAGCAGTCACCACAGCAGTTGATTCAAAATTGGCGCTGTCTGGGTAGTGTGATCCGTTTAATTTGAATCCATGATATTGACTAGACTAAAAACTGAATGGGCAAATAAGCGCTTTTGTATCTAGAAGAACCCGTTCCATCTTAAGATTGAAATCTCTTCTCCAAAGATTTCACCATGAAATTAAAGATTTTTCTATCTAGATAAAGTGCTTTATTCTCGTGTACCTTTATTATTTTAATGTACTGTAAGCTAAACTGAAATAACTGTTTTATAGGTTTGAAGAACATAGGAAAAACCAAGAGGGTTTTGTTTTTATTTTTGCTGGTTGAAAGATATGTTTAAAAACGTCATAGTGTTTTGTTTCGTTAAAGGACAATAATGAAATGGAATTTATATTTGTTATTTCTATTTTCTAATATTTAATAGGATTAGATTGAAATAAAAGGAAAAACTGTGCAGAATATGGGTTTTTCTGGTGTTTCCCTCTGACTCTGGTACACTGATGAACTCTGATCAGACCCCCCTGCTTTAAAGACCTTTGGCTATGCAGGGATGCTCTTCCTGTCAGTGGTAATGAGATTTTTTTTCAGGAAGGCAGCTTCTCCATTTTTAACCTTGTACATGTATTGTACTCTTAGGGTATTATATTATATGAAAACCTAAGGATTGCATTCTATTTTGTATACGCCCCCTTAATGTTTTGCTTTTTTTTTTTTTAAAGCACTACGGACAATAGTGCTTCATTTACCTAGTAGTATCAAAGAATGAATGATTCCAAACAAATGTGCTTCTCAGTTAACTACTGTTTACTGCTTAAGAGCCAATATGAATGTTTGCACATTTGTGATGGCAGTATACCTAAAGTATATTACATACTTTCCTAAAAACAGAGCTTAAAGAAAATAATTTAAATAATTCCTGGATGATCTGGCTTCATCATTAAGAATAATCTATTATTTTACTGTTACAAAATAGAAATGCTCTCTATACATAGTCTTCCAGATCTCTACTGTCAGTTATCATTTCTAGCTGCTTTCACGGTTTTATCAGTTCTGAGGCAAAGCTTCAATTTATACTACTCCTAGGTAGTGTGGTGAATGCCAATTGCTGCTTTTTTCTTACTTCCACATAGTGAGGTGTATATACGATCTCTGAATAGGTGGGTTGTTGTGACAACCACAAACACACAAAGAAAGTAGTGAATTCCTAATAATATGGACTTGAAGTGTTCTGGAGTACACTCAAACCTACAATTATACACATTTGGCTTGGAAATGTGTTTCTCCATTTAAATATATCTGAAACTCAGACTATCCATAAAAACTCAAATGAGAAAAGTCAATTCATTTGAGAAGGCAAGACTCAGAAGAGGAAGCTACACAAACCTTCTCCTGTAGACTGCTGTTTGCCCGGTATCAACTGGATAAGGATGTAAAACATAAACTTAACTAGTTCACATGATGTCATATCACATAAAGATAGTGTGAGATAATCAGGAGCTCTAGAATAAATGCCCTTCTCTTTCAACACTTGCACCACTACAAAATCCTTTTTATTTCAACAGAAGGCCTAGCAAACTCTAAGCAAAAGGTCAGTAAGTTCCTAAAAAAACAAAATTTGCTATGGATATATCTCAATGTAGTGAATTTACTTATAGGATATTAGGAGTTGATTCTATACTATGTATAGGGCATTTTTAATTTGTGGAACATTAAAAAAAATCGTTTCAAGTATATATATATATATATTTAAAATACTTAAAAATAATTTAGGACATTGCCTTCATATAAATGATGGCTAAAGAGACTAGGGGACATACATATTGAGGAAAAAGTCATAGACAAATAATACTGATATGAAATGAGTTCATTTATTATGATAGGGACTGCACTTGACCCAATGGTTTAAGGAATAGGTAGGAAAACTCAGTTTCTATTCTTTCCTTCCTGTAAAATCCTGACATAATGAGCTCAGTAAATTGTTTTAGGAAGTTATCTCTCATTTCAGACTTTCTCACATGAGACATTTTACTATGTTTTGGCTTTCTGACTATCCAAAATAAACAGTAGATAAAATTTTCATAAACAGAAGAATTATGTCACCACTGTTCTATAATTGACTTTATAAATAATTCTTATTTCACAATTCATTTAAAAGTTACTCTTCATCTTTGTGTGATAGAATGCTCAAGAATTTGTTTTATCATAGTTTAATTCCAACAATTTTAGTTATATTCAAAATAACCCTTAATGCTAAACTTGACTGATGTACATCCAAAGCTTCTCATTTTCAAGCAAATTAATCTAGAAGCAGTCCTAAGCAGAAAAACAGGTGTTATGCTCCTAATGGTATTATTTATAACAATGAAATAAGTTGTAATATTAGAAGTTTTGCTGCTAATTTTATATCATCCCTGAAGTAACTTCACTGAAATTTTCTGACTTAGCCTAAACCAATTAGAAAAGTTAAAATCTTATTCTCAGCTCTACAGCAAGAAAGTAAACATATGAATTTCCTCAACATTTTCAAGTCAATTAAAGATATGTAATATACACACCAATATCTTCTCCAGGCTCTGACAGGCCTCCTGGAAACTTCCACATATTTTTCAACTGCAGTATAAAATCAGAAAATAAAGTTAACATACCCTTTATTCACTAACATACACAAACACACACAGATGCCACAAAATTTACTCATAATTGGTCAAGGTGGTTGAGAATTTATTTTTTGGTAATTACACGCAAATTTTTTTCAGCTTCCTTCCTCACGCCTCCCTTCTTTTTAGGGATAACTGGTGACTTGTGAAACCTTTTCCCACCTTTTTCTTCAGGAACTAGAAGTGGTTTTGTTTGGTTAATGTGATAAATTCTGTATGAGTGAAACAGTGGGGGGGAAACATCTACTGAATTTGTGTAGTTAAAAAAATTTTGCTGCTAGTTTACTAAAAAATAGAGGAATCTTACTGATGCTGCTATAAATAAGTAGAAAATACAGTATAAATTTAATCACTAAAGTATGCTACTTTTAATTTTCACATTTACTTTCTGTATTGTGTCTAATCAGATATGTTCATCTTAAGATTTCTCTTATTCTCTGTGTTAATGATTTTATGTACAAATGTAACTGCTTTTCATGGGAAGTGTGAATAAAATTGATTAGTTTAAGTTTGTGGCTTTTTGTATAACATTTCTTTTTTTGATGGGGAGGGGCAGGTGGGATGATCTGACTAGGAATGGGGATAAATGTGGAAAATTTATTTTAAATAATTCTGAAGTGACATGGGACAATATTCTTATGGCTGACACGATTATTTTTTCCTGTTAGGATTCTGTTGTATCAATCCATCACCATGATAAAAGCTGAAGAATGAGAAATTATGACATGCTCATAAAGGTACTGCAGCTTGGAGCCAGTATACCTTATACTCTTCATTCATAAAACAAGTTTATGGACCTTTACTGGTGTGCTTTGTGACCCACTCATTTCCTGCGCAAGAGCTTCTTAAAGAATGTGTCATTTCCCAACTATGCTAGGTTGGAGCCCAGTGGCATGGTTCCCAGAGTTTCCACAGACTTGATTATGTGGGTACAGAATTGAGGCTTACCACCCTTCTGTGTCTGGCTCAGACTTGAGATTAATTTATAAAGCATATTATGTTTTACTTTTTAAATGTAGAAATATATCTCTAAGAATATCTCAACATTAAATGTACTGTCTTTGGGGTTCCATTTTGAAATTGTTCCAGAAGCAATGTTTCCACAAAAACTATGCAGTCTTTTGTCTGCTAGTATGTTAAACTTCACCACCATAAATTGTTTCTAACAAAAGATGTTATATAATAGGGCAAATCCTCCAAAACAAAATCAACTTTTAAAAATCTTTACCTAGACCTGATTATAAATAATTGGAAACTGTTGATTAAATTTGGAGATATGAACTTATTAGAAGGGGAAAATGCTAGCTGTAAGGATTGAAAACAGCTCACACACATTTGATTTTGATTATTTAATAAACCTTAGGTATGGAAAGATTATTTTTATGCTGGTGATTAGTTTGTGATATTTTCTGGCATCAATTAGGTTTAAAGAGCTTATTTTAAAACAGCTTCCTCCTCCCCAAAAGCTTGAGCTTACAGTTAGTTCTAAGTGGTAGGTTGAGAGGCCTAAGTTTGAAAAACCTGGTTAATACTGTAGATATGATAGATCAGTGGAGGGACAAGTAGGTCTTCTCACTTTTTTTTTTAACGTTAAAGAATACTCCCACTAGCTGGGTTTAGCAATAAAATAAGTAATAATAAATATTACTAGGTAATGTATATTGAATGTCCACTATGTTCCAGATACTATGCTAAATGCTTTAATAATTATAGACATTTAAACTTTATAGTAACCCCACAAGAAACTATTGCTGTTCCCATTTTTATTTTTTTCATTTCTTTTTTTATTGAAGTATAGTTGATTTACAATATTGTGTTACAGCAAAGTGTACAATTGTACAGCAAAGTGTACAAGTGTACAGCAAAGTGATTCAGTTATACATATAAGTTTTTCAGATTATTCTCCATTATAGGTCATTATAAGATATCGAATACAGTTCCCTGTGCTATATAGTGAATCCTTACTGCTTATTGTTCCCATTTTAGAAGTGATGAAACTGAGGACAAATAGGTTAAATAATTTACCTGGAGTGACACAGTGTGTAGCAAAACTCACAGTTAAAATCCAGGCAATCTGATTCTAATCATCTTTGAAGAAATTTAAAAAGTTGGTTTGCTATTTTCATACTAATTCTTTACCACTATTTGCTGCTTTTTCATGTATCTTTTGCTCTTCAGATCTCATTGGAACATTCTACATAAACCCAACCAGAATCTGTATCTTAGTCTTATGTTCCTCCAGGGTTTGTGAATTTGAACTAAAACCTAGTTTGGTATCAAACGTCTTTGTATCTACCTCTCGCCTGTGAGTTCCCTATCAAGAATTGTTTGATTGGCATGAGATTTATTACTCTGCTAGTGATTTACTACTACTCTGCTAGTGATTTACTGTTACGCCACTAGTGATTTGCTATTACTCTACTAGTAATTTACTGTTACTCTAACACTTCCAGTATATTGTTTCATAGGGGAAAAATTACTGAGGAAGGGGTAAGGTTGGGTTTTGAATATGAACAGTAACCCATAGTTTCTGTTTTCATCTTTGTTCTCCCTTCCAATAAAAGACAAAACATCTCTATGCTTCAAGTGTAAAATTCCAAGATCCTTTTCTCCCTAATCTTAAAAAAGGTACTTTCCACTCTCTTCTAAAAGAAATACTCTACTCAGACATTCTCTTGCCTCTTTGCTTGTTGGGTCCTACCCAACATTCACATATATGACCCCTCCCTGCTTTGAGTGAGTCAGGTCATCTAGTTCCTGAAGCATATCTGATCTGATTTTTACATACTACGAAAGGCAGTTATCCTTTTAAGTTATAAAAATGTGTGATTTTTTTTTGCGGTACGCGGGCCTCTCACTGTTGTGGCCTCTCCCGTTGCGGAGCACAGGCTCCGGACGCGCAGGCTCAGCGGCCATGGCTTACGGGCCCAGCCGCTCCGCGGCATGTGGGATCTTCCCGGACCAGGGCACGAACCCGTGTCCCCTGCATCGGCAGGCAGACTCTCAACCACTGCGCCACCAGGGAAGCCCCAAAATGTGTGATTTTAAAGCATAGTCAGAGTAATTCCAGCATATTGTAGAATGGTGAATGTGATGATAAATTTTTCCTATACGTTTGCCAATTATAAATCTGATGTTTGTGTGTGGGTGTGTGCGTGCACGTGTGTTTGTAGGTGTGAATGTAAAACAGAAGTGTGTAAATGATGTACAGTGGTCCCATCAATCACTGGAACCTCTTTCCTTCCTCGGTGTTAGGAACTGCTAGCCCCAATAGTAAGCATTTTGGATATCAGCAAAGGGTATTATTTTTTTAATGCATTCTTCATACTTAACAGAGTGTAAGATATTTTCTGTTAAGGCAATTTCAAGTTTAATACCACTGTTTCTTATAAAACCTATCCTGAAGATAAACTCAAGTTTATTTTAGCGTTTCTAGAATGGGTAAATAGGAATGACTCATTTTCTGATCCTTTTTCTCACTATTTTTCCAACCCCACAGACATCTTCTGTTTTCCTAAGCAGATGATTCGCTTCAGGATCTTCCCTGGGTGTGGCTGCTGAAATCCTAACTAGGAATTTGTGTAAACAGAACCCCCCAAAGACTATTAATTTCTTTCAAATAGAAATTGTCTAATCTCAAGAACCTAGAACAAGGGTACAGACTTGCTAGCCTCTTCCTTTTGGTTCTTATATTATTTGACTTTATCATTCTTCCCTAACTCAAACTTGGTCAGATGCCTGATCTCATTATCTTTTCTTTTCACTGTTCTGGTCTTTAATGCTACTACTCTCACTCTTCAGAATTCAGAGCCACTGTGTTTAGATAAATCTAATTAACTACAATATTATCACTGTTATGCGACAGATGCTACCAGAGATGTCTTAATAAGTTTGTTCATTCATTCAATAAAAATTTACTGAGTGCTAGGTTTAGGCCATACAGAAAATTAATGCACAATATAGCAAGGCTAGTCATTCTCTTTCTCCTTATACTACTGTATTTTTCTTAATAACATTCACCATCACTTTATATATTATTTATTCATTCACTTATTATTTGTATCTTACCTATTTGAATATAAGCTCCAGATGTAGAAACTTTGTTTTGTTCACTAATGTTTACTTAGAGCTTAAAACAGAGCCTACAACATAGTTATGTACAGGAACTCAGTAATGTTTGGCAAATGAATGAATAGGTCCCTACCATTAACTCAGCTCTTTAGCACCTGGTTTACAAGGTCAAGCCACTGTTAGGTCTTTTGTTCCTCAGAATCATGGGGCAGGGACAAAGGAAGGGACTATATGGGTAGGAAAGGAGAAAGGACATGTTTTAAGTATTTCAGCTTTGAGTCTGAGTGTGCATTTGCTCATGCAAAGAAAGGAGAAAAAATGGCTCAGATGTCTGAAAATAACGCTAATTAGTTATTTACAGCTAATAGCTATCATTTATGCTTAAATTCCACCTAACACCAAAATAATTACAGAAATTAAATATGATTTAGTCTCACTTTATACTTTTTATTACATTGAGCTATACATTAATACTCAGTTTTTATATTTTATTGCTCTGTTAGATAGATCTCTGTTCATAACTTAAATCAAAACCCTAAGTAAGAGTATCACTTCTATTTAATTCACAAAGAAACCAAAGTCTTATATAATTTGAATTTGTTTCTAGCTTCTGCCAATCCCAACTGCCTAGAAGCACAGTGGGGATCATGATTAGGTTCTGAGCAGCAGTACTTTCTCACTCTTAAAGAACCAATCACTGGCAAGACTGAAAATCAGCAAATGAAGAATCTGGATGCCCAGTGTTCTAGTTTGGAGGTTCTCAAACTTGACCGTGCACCTAAAACACCTGGAGGGCTTGTTAACACACAAACTGTTGAGCGGCATCCCCAGAGTTTGATTCATCAGGCCTGGGGGTGGGGCAGGGGTGTGAGAATGTGTGGT